TATATATATATATATATATATATATATATATATATATATATATATATATATATATATAAAAAGATCAATAGGTTACACTTTATAATTAAAAATTGTTCTTATGTGTAGCTCGAAATCTATTGGTTCCGGATTTTTCATATTCTTCATCAGATGAAGATGAAGATTATTACGACGCGACAGAGGATATCACTACAATGTCATCGTCACAAAATCATTACCGAAGGCATAAAATTTACTTTAATCTTTAAATTTTTTGATCATCTTTTAAATTGATGAAATAATTATTTATTTATTTATTTATTTTCAAAATATTAACTTGTTGAAAATTTTCAATTTTTTAACAGTGATCATAATGCTAAGACTAGTCTTCCAACAGTTAGGGAAGTACTCAATCATGACGAACTTCGTAAGCCCCATGGAAATCCCCCAACTACAGCAGACGGATCCTTGGATTATGATGGTATGTTCAAAATTAATATTATAAAAATTCAAAATTAGTATTCTCTCAATTAAAATCAAAGTTCTCTCAATTGAATTTAATTAGTAAATAAAAGAAGAAAATAAACAATTTTCATTGTCATTATTATGATAATATATGATAATAAAATATGAATAACTGCAGTATTCTCTAAGTTAGAGTAATTTTCGCTTTTATTTATTTCAGCGCTATACGAAGAAGAAAGTGAACCAGAAAGTAACTATTTATAATTTTTATCAATCATTTGCATATGATTGAATTTATAAAATTAAAAGAAATATCTTAAATACATTTTTTTCATCGTAGTGGATTCGATGGAAAGTCATGGATCAGTCGTATCTCATCTCTTATCACAAGTAAAAATTGGGATGGACTTAACAAAAGTTGCTTTACCTACATTTATTCTTGAACGAAGATCACTCTTAGAAATGTATGCAGATTATTTTGCACATCCAGAGCATTTTTTACGGTATTTATTCGAATAAATTTTTACATTTTACGTATAGACAAGGTAGGCGCGCAGTAGCCTATCGGATCCGGCCCTTGCTACCAAAGCATTGGACCGGGTTCAAATCCGACGTACACCAATGAATATTTTAAATATTTAAGTGTATTATTCTGCTCAGCCCAAGAAATACAAACGAGTTCCAATCTCAAAAGTTTACCCCCTACCGTAGTCGCTCATGACCTTAGTAGTTTATGCGACTTTAAACAAATTAAAAAAAAAAAAATAAATTATCACAAGTTATTGAGATTATTCGTAGATAAATAATAACTCGTATTAATCGATTATCAGCATTGCCGATTTATCAACTCCAAAAGAAAGAATGGTTCAAGTGGTACGATGGTACTTATGTAGTTTTCATGCTGGTCGTAAATCTGGTGTTGCAAAAAAACCTTACAATCCAATATTAGGAGAGATATTCCGTTGCTACTGGGATGCTGAGGAATCTAATAACAGTTATCGAAATGAAACAACAAGAACATCGGTTAATACTGCTAGTGATGGTCCGGTACCTTGGTGTCAAAACGATCAGCTGTGTTTTATTGCTGAACAAGTTTCACATCATCCACCTGGTAAGCATTATCCATACTTTTAACTGAATAAACGTTGTGGTTTCAAATATAACTATTCGATTTTTTTTGCAGTAAGTGCATTTTATGCTGAGCATCGTGATAAAAAAATATGTTTTAATGCTCATGTATGGACAAAAAGTAAGTTCTTAGGACTAAGTATAGGAGTACATAATATCGGAAAAGGGTGGATTAACTTACTAGAGTATGGTGAGGAGTATGTTTTGACTTTTCCAAATGGTTATGGAAGATCTATATTGACTGTACCTTGGATCGAATTGGGAGGTACTACAACTATAACATGTGCTCAAACTGGTTATCAAGCGACAATAGATTTTCTGACAAAACCTTTTTATGGTGGAAAACGAAACCGCATTGTTTGTCAAGTGACTCAACCAGGCGAGAAAAAACCATTTTTAGTGATTAATGGAGATTGGAGCGGTATCATGGAAGCTAAATATAGCGATGGTGTAAGGGTTTATTTTATTTTAATTTTGATATAAATATGTTGGATTTTCAAAAGTAAAGCTCTATTTTTATAGACACCATAATTAGTAACAGTCACTTTACATCAGCTATAAATAATTGTTATTGTATGCACGTTTCTTTTTAACTGCTTGATAAAAAAATCAATTATTTTCAAAAATTGGGAAGTTATTGGTTTCACCCGATAAAGCAAAACGCATAAAAACGGTTGATTCGTTTGGGAGCTATCACGATTCAAAATTTTCAAAAAAGTGTCTTTTCAACAACCATTAGATTTTTGAGATCAAAGAGCTTGAAAATAAATAAAAGTTGTATTCTTGTTTTCTTGAGCTCGAAAAAAAAAATTTCTTGATGAAAAATTTTCGAGGGTTTCGAATATAGCGAAAGTTCCAGGGATGGCCGGCAAAGTCAACTTTTTTTCCTTTTTTCTTTATTTTGAATTTTTTTTTATAAACATACACGTTAACTATCAACCCATCAGAGCTTGGCCTTGAAATCCCACTCTTTACCGTAGCAAGTGCGGGTAGGATTATCAAAAATATAAGAATTCACAGAAATTCGGTATAAACAAATTTTTCAACTACGGCACTATCAATATCCGTGAAGCAGGGTCAAAATCAGTGGACGTGTACTCACGGGATTATTACCGTTCGCACATTTTACTCACACAAGCTCGAGGTGCATTGTAATTGGCGATCTTCTCACTAGTTAAACACGGGAGCAGTTTAAAACTTCCAGGCGCTAAAGGATTAAATAAGAAGAAAGAAGCTAGTTTAAAATAGCAAAAAAGTTTCTAGGCATGACTTAGAGGATCAGTAGTTTTTCTGATTATTTTTTTCCACTACAGTAGTCTCCTCAACTTCTTCATTTTTTTACTTCAACTTCCTATTATTTTGTACTAAAGAATACCGGAGGAGCTTGTCTATCGCTGTTTATTCTCCAACAATTCTTTGAATCTAGGACTCCCCTCAGTCGAAGTTGGAGAGATTTCACTGTATACAATCCATTAAATCACCAAAGTTACTATATCCAAGCTGAAATTCTTAAACAGTCTATTTTTTTATGATAAAGTCAACAAAGCTTTACTTTGAGGGGTTCATTAGAAACATTATTATTGAAATAATCCAAATTAAAATTTTTTTTTAGCAAACTGAGTTATTCGCTGATGTGACTACAATTCCTGTTGTAAAAAAAATGGTGAAGCCAATTTGTGAGCAAAATGATAACGAATCTCGCAAAGTATGGAGAGAAGTAACCGTTGGCTTGAAAATTAATGACATGGATAAGGCGACTGCAGCTAAATGTTATATTGAACAAAAACAGCGGGACGAAGCAAAACTTCGCAAAGAATCTAATTTATTGTGGGAGACTAAAGTAAGTTCCACTTGTCATTATATGAAATATATATCATCATTCTGTATCCTATGAGTACTATTTTGTAATCATTGTAATTTTTTAGTTTTTCAAAGAAATAAAGGATGGAGGGTGGATGTACATCAAGCCGTTAACAAAATAATTAAAATTCACATTCAATTTGATGTAAAAATTGATTTATATAGTATCAACAAAATACCAAAAATAAAGAGCCTAAAATAGTTATTAAACATAATGAAAATACAATTATTGTGCTCTTTAAAAAAAATTAATCCCTATAATTAGTTTCACATGCTAGATTTTTTTATCTTCTGTCTTCTATATAAATAAAAAAAACTTATGTTTCTTCGTGTTTAATTTTAAATCTCCGAAATTTATTTGCTAATCACTTATAAATTATGACATAACGTTTTATTCGCATTCCATTTTATTTTTCTACATGCTAACAATAGAATATACACACCGAGAGAGAAGACTGATTTTTAATTTGTATGTCATCTTTTCTTGTAGAATTTTGTTCTTGATCAACAATTAATATTTTGATACCTTTAACAAAAATCTCTATTAAATTATGTACTAAATAATTACTCATATTATTGAAAAGTATTCAAGGACGAGTCCAGACTAAATTAGCCACTTTTTAGTAGATTTCATAGAAATCTAACTATTGCAATGGTCCTCATGACGAAACTTTTGAAAAATTTTGCTATATTCCGACTTAAGGTAGTACCTCCACGGAAAGCATATTTCAAGAAACTTATGGAATTTTTTTTATCAAAAGATAAATATATTAATAATTCACCACCAAAATTTCAGATCAATTCACCACACCGTTTTTGAGTAATTAATTTTCGAAATTGCATCTTTTACACGTAGTGGTATAGGGAGATGGTAAAGTTAGTATGAAATTTTTCGTACTACTCGAGTGGTATATATATATATATATATACAATATAACGCGGCTTGTCACTACGATAGCGTCACCAATTTACAATGGATCTTTATCAAACTCAACATACTTATTCTACAGATATATACCGAGGTCAAGTTCGAAGATGAGCTTAATCGGTCAAGTAATTTAGAAATGCCATGATTTCAAAATTTTCAAAATCATAAAAATTTACATTTCTTCATTTTCGTACTTGAATAACTTTTGAATGGGATAATTTATCGAATTTCTGTAAATTGCATCTAAAAGCTCTTTAAATAAGCTTCAATTTGAGTACCATATCATATGTGTAGTCCCAAAATTATGTCCTATTCCGCTATGCCAATTATGAAATTTGCTATTGCACTCGTTTTTTTTTTTTTTTTTACTGTACACCAGCAGTAAGTAAACAAATAACGAGTTAGGGTGAAATAAGGTTTTAATCGCCGGTTTACTAGAAATCCATTATTTTTTTCTATTTATGATGAAATCTACTTCCATTTCAACTGCCAAATGGTCTTTTTTAGTTTATTCTTTCCAATTGTTTTCAAAATTTTATATATTGTTGAGACTGATGAGAAACACGATCATGTAGTTTAGTCGAGAAGTGAGTTTTCTGCGAAAAATCGTTACAATGGTCTTGAAAATATCGTTATTGGTGCATTGCATTCAGAATTTAATTCTGAGAAAGAGGTATTTTTTAATTTATTCGCCATTAAAAATTTCATTTGTTATAAACAAAAAACGAAGAGAAAAAAGGGGAGTCTCCATTATGTACAATTTTAAGCTATAACTTCAAAAATATTAAGGAGGTTCGAGCGAATCTAATGTAAAAAATAATTTCCAACTTTGAGCTTTGAAATTAAGTATAAGTATAAATAAATGCGTCATTTATCTAATCCCAAACTTTTAAAAAGATTCACCGTTTAGTTACTTAGATATTCAATTAAAAAAATCACATATTTTATCTCCTTATACACGGGCTCTTATGGTGGACAATCGTTTTGTCGAGACTTTAATTATTTTTTCCAATATTAACCTCCCAACTTTAACGGATAAAAAACTATACACAAGAAGCTTAGATTATTGCAAAATATAAAAACAATTTAATAATAATACATTACCGATATAATTTTTGAAATATTTAAAGTCAAATTTTATGTTTGTAACTCGTTTATCGTCAGCCATTTATTCGAATAAAGATTTGACAACGTCGCGTCAACAGCTGAGAAAAGAGAAAAGAATAGAAATATAGTTACAGAGAGAGAAATGTTTAACTCACACACTCATCCACATCTCTGTTATGGGTATAATCAAACGCGCTATTGCCAAATCTGTTTATTTATTCCGGCAAGTAATAAATACCAAAGTCATTTTATTACTCTACTTTATTAATAAGTCGAAATCATCAATTATTAAATTGTTTAAATTATTTTAAATTAAAATAAAGAATTTTGACGAATATTGGGAAGACTAAAATTAAAAAAATGTTTTAACATTATTTTGATTCATTAGTTACGGAGTTGTAGCTCCTGGAGTTGTAGCTCCTGGAGTTGTAGCTCCCGGAGTTGTAGCTCCATTATTTACAATTTTAATTTAACGTTCAAAATTGGGCTCCGCGGCCGTTTCGGGGCCTAGGCGCCGCCAAGCAAAGTATGGAAGACAAAATAATTTTTTTATAACATTCAATATTAATTTAAAAATCTCAATAAATTATAGTGTCATCTAGACACTTGAAGGAATATAGCCCCACAAAAAAAAATTTTTAGCTTGATTTTTGTTTAAGTTATTTAATTGTTAATTAACAAATTTTTCGTAGACTTGAGTTTTCATAAAATCTCTCATAAAAATTTAAAAAATGTGTCTATAACTTTTTTTTTCTTTTGAGAGCTCTTGTTATATACGTAATAATTATCCGTAATAATTATACTCTGTAATAATCCGTAATAATCCGTAATAATTATCCGTAATAATTATCCGTAATAATTATACGTAATAATTATACTCTTGTTATATAAGTAATGAACAAGATTCTGTTGTAAAACTTCACCAACCGCGATGAAATCGGTTCAACCGTTCAAAAGTTATAAGAGGTTTACACACACACACACACACACACACACACACACACACACACACACACACACGA